ATATGCAAGAATAGCATAAGACGACATTTTAATAAATATTTCTTGATATTTACAGACTAAAAAAAATAAACACATCTTTGCTTATAATGCTTGTGACCTAAGGCAATGTCGAGGCAATCCGTATAGGATGCACATATGCCAACAAGAGATTGATCAATTGTAGTCCTAAGTAACAATGGGAAGATAAAAGTAAATAACACCAAGTGAATTTATAAACAAATTATGTTTAGAAGTCATATTTTCCTCTCCTCATCTCTACCCAGTAACAGAGACTTCCAGGAAAAAAAGTACAACTTAGTAAATCAAACCCATCCAAATACATAAAATTAGAAATATACTTACAGTAATGAAGATGCATTAAATCTGTTTATTAAATTAAACTAACATAAAAGGTTTTGTGGAGTATGACACTTCTCAGTTCAATTTTATCAGTCTCCCTTATTAAAGAATTTCGAGCCAATACAAATTATTTGGACATTTGGTCATAATGTTCTCCCCTAAACAATTACGGTTTTATAGTGTAAGTTATCTTAAAAACTAGAGGTATTTGACTTCATCTACATTTTATCTTTGTATACTGATTGTATTCAACCATCATTTAACAAAATGACTAGATAAGTGAAATTTGAATAAAAGTTTTAGCATAATCGTAGAACTTATCTGATTGAACTAAATATAAAAAAATATTGAAAGTAATCAGAATGTTCTTGTTTTTTTTCATCTAAGGAATAACTTTTCGCAAAATGTTGACAACTATCCGGTATATATTCTACGATGGTGTAGAAAAAATCCATAATATTTTGATGAAATTCTTACAAGCTCTACAAGAATTTAATGTTCATTTTTCAAGAATATATCCAATGATAGGCGGTATGTATGATTTAAACGTACTAATGCTAATTTACTTCTATTTACTTAATATTGGGTATCATATGGATTTTTTCAAGTATGAGACGCCAAAACATGGCAGAGGCTTATGGTACCATATGGTACTGTTTAAAAACAAATTGTGCAATGAGTTAGTGAACAATAACACCATTGGATGCCGGCTCAGTGGTCCAGTGTGTTAAGCGTTCGCATGCGAGACCGAAGGCCGTGGGTTCGAACCCCACGAGCAGGATCGTGGGTGCGCGCTGCTGGGGAGTCCCACAATGGAAGGAAACGGCCATTCGTTGCTCCCAGGTTTTTGATGGTGGTTCAACATCAATCGGTTCCTGATCTCAATCAAAAACTTAACAACCTCCTCAGCACCTAAACTGATAATTTACTTATTTAGTTATTAAATATTATTGACTAATTTACTCTAAAGTAAATCTCATTTTTCTAATTTAATTGTGATAACCTGAGGCTGTAATATTATAGTTTATGACATAGCAAATTGTAGATACCAGGATACAAGCTTATGAGTAGTAATGTCCCGTTATATTCCACCAATATGATGACTGAAAGCATGTTTGATTAAAGTATTGGCATTTGTCTGAAATAATCTGATGGTTTTAAAATCGGATTTCTTTATATCATCTTATTTTATCTGGCACTGAATTTCGACAGTAACCATCAAAACTGGGATGCAGATACATTTGGTCAACAAGCCGCTAATATGATGGAACTCAAATTCACGACCCCAATACTATCCATAACCTTTCATTTAATTACACAGAAGTAAATCTACCAAAGTTGAACAATTAAGTATCTTGACAAGAGACGACAAATTTTATTTAACATGTATTGGAAGTCAACACGATACATTTTAATTTATTAAATTCTCATATGTCTTGTTTGTTTACATGGTTCTTGATAATTTGATGGAAAACCTATATATATATATATATATATATATATATATATATATATATATATATATATATATATATATATATATATATATATATCAACAAAGATGGGCTATCTACCACTTTACACTTACATTTTTATCTTAGCGATTTGCAGGTATTAATATTGTTTAGACAATTTTTAAGTTGTGCTCAAACGAATAAATATTCAGATGGCTTAGTTTTATTGTTCTTAAAGGTATCTCACAGTGTTCCAAAATAAGTTTTATATTACCCACTTTGTTACTAATATAGATTTAAATCCTCTGAACAAATCACATTAATTCAAGTGAACTGACTTATAGGCGTTGTGTCTTAAGTGTTTGAGTGACATTGCAAAAGACATTTAACGTGATAATATGACTATATTTTGATAAGTTTCCTGATTGTACTAAAGTAGAAGATTCTAAACAAACTATAATTGTGTATTTCAGTGACCTGAAATGTAGTTAATCTAATTTAAACAAAACTTCTATAAAACTTAACCACTCGATAGCTTGGGTTAAGTTTATTCTGTTAAAAAAGGAGTCTGCACGACAAAGCATCAGAACTATTAAATTTAATTCGTCGACATTTTAACGAGACAAATTCTACTTACAATTCTTAAACTATCTTTCCTTACAAAGTATTTAATTTAGCAAGTAACACCGTCTTAGTGCCACCCCAATGCATAAAATACATCAAAATAGCAGGGCTTGGCAAGGGAAGTGCGATATCACAAAAACGCGGAAATGTTTGGACATTAACAGGCTTTTTCTATCAATTTTGAAAACCGAAAAACTTTTACAAACGTTTTATACAGACCGACTCGGTACTAGTACATTACTTCTCAAGGCTCATTTTCTTTTCAGAAAACGTAATGTTTTCGTTATTTAGTAGCAATGTTATAATGAAGATGAAATTTTGGATTGAGTGAAAATAGAATCTATATTGAAGCTGAACTGATTGTCTTGTTTAAAACAACATCATTAAAACAATGAAAGATCAGTAGATATCCCTTTTCATGTTACCACAAATTGTATATATAAAGTCACATGTATCCGCCAAAAAGCAGTTACATTTGTGAAACAGAAAGGATAGTCTTCGTCTGATTCGATGAACATATTGCGAAAATTCTAGGGTCCGACGGATTGAAAGCATCTAGCAGTGCCATCTCAAGACATCTCCTTGACACACGACACCAAGTCTATACACTGAAGTCTTTCAAAATGGTTAATAAACAATCAAACTCCAACCCTCTGAATTTAGCTGAAGAGTCTATGAGTCGATAAAGAAGCAGTAACAAATCTCTCTTTGCCATGGCAACATTACATCCTTCTTATGTAGCGAGTCATTCATTATCTAAACTCCTTCTGAAGGTTCATTACACCATCGCCACTTTTCCCCAATTCATGACTCACTGATTTTAATTCATATCTTTCATCGTCACCATTAATCTGTTTTCAGCCACTTCATCACTCCATAGCTGCATGAGTTCTAATCAACATTTCAATGTTCTGGAAATTCACCCCCCAAACTTCATTATTTATCCGAAACAAGATTTCTGAGGACCTGGTTAACTCTATTATAATCTTTGCGAGATCATGATAGACATATTTATCTGTAATCACCGTCATATTCATCAGTGTGTCAATATCTGTAATAACTTTGATTTTCAAATATTGTAGGTTTAATGCAGCTGATGAGAACCTAACGAAATAAAATGAATAACATATTATTCTGCACCAATCTTTGTTCTTGCTCCCTTTAATCCTATATTGTTAGGCTTACTTCAGACTTCGCAGCCTGGCCCGCCTTTTATTGTCACTTGATACTTTTCGAAAGTAAGTGTTTTGAGAGCAACAGAGGGTGCTTGAAAGATGTACACAAACCCATACGTTTCCGGAAGCACTACGTAGCTTAAGCCAAAATGCATCTTAACTCAGAAGAGTTCTATACACTAACAGACATCACTTGACTATCATAAAAACTTTCTTTGCTGAAACAAAGAATCACACTGCTAATAAAACCTAAGTTCCTTTAAGTGTCAGTGACGTCTGAATGTACAGCATGGTTGTGTTCATACAAGATGTACAGATGGAGGATAATTAGAAGTATTTGACAGTACATATCCCACTGCAGACAATCCAACCTGAGTGAAGTTAACTGATATCCCACAGCTGAACTTCAGTCTTAGTCAGGGTATATATATTGTATGTGAGATTCGACATCGCCTTACATGTAGCTACTCAGGAGATCACTATAATTTCACATTCAGAACGTAGCCAGTTTTTCATATCAAGATGTAGAGTTCCGGAGTATAAACCGTCAGAATAGAATCGCCTTAACAGAAGGAGTTTGACAATTTTTTTTATTTTATGAGAAGTGGAGTTACTTGTAGCTAAAGGCGTAAAGATACAAACTACGTTCGAGTAGGTTGTGAAGACTAATATACCACCAATAATGTTTCTCCATACCTCTCAAACGCATTTGATATATTTATGCGACTCGACGAGGTCTTAAATAATTTTCTGAAATCAATATGGATTTAGACGGCAGTGGACTCAAACAGAGTATAATAATACCGAGTATATCCAGAGGCTTCACTGCATATTACGCTCTTTTTCCCATACTTATTACCGACCAACAAACGAATTCCCAGTTTTAGAGAGTAAGCTGTATAATTACCACTAAAATTTAAAAAAAGTTCTCTCAATGAAAACTTTAGAAAAATTGGAATATATAGCAAGAATACAGGGATAAGTTTATCTAACAATATATATGGAAATACATATACATAAAAGTATTTTTAGTTCTTAATGAGCTCAATACAATCCTTACTAGATTTTAAACCAGTAAATTCTACTTTTCAAAGATATTTTCAAGAGCAGTAATAAATTTAAATACCGTATAAACCCAAATATTCATTACGTTATATAAATGTGCAGTTCCATCATCTATATCCGCGCAAAATTGTCGAGCTTTGAAGGAATGCGGTTCATCTCCATAATACCGAAAAAAATATTGACTGTGAACAGTCAGGTATATGTCATCGTAAAATTGTTTTTGAATTTAAACTCTCAAGTAGAACTACACTCAGCATCTTGACAAAAACAACTCAATAATTAAATTCATCGGAGCAGTAAGGTACACAAAGTGTCACAAATTTTTTTAAAACCATAGGCTCACCTACAGGATCGACGTGGCTGAAATGATCTATGAACGTTCTGCGATCTAAGAACAGTGATAACTATTTAGGTTACAATCTGAATTATAGATTACCTTTCCATCTGGAGTGGATTTTTTCAAAAGGCTAAAAATAATACTTAACTAAGCGAATCAAAGTTACTCGAAGTAGCGTCTATGAGACCCTTCGGACACCATCTTAATCTTAAAACGATAACATCCACATACTTTCATAAATGTGAACACATCTTTAAAGTCCAATATTCAATATCTTCAACAAGAGCCTGTATCAAATAGTTGCATTTTCTTATTGCTGTCTTGGTATGGTTTTAAGTATCTAATAATCTTTAGCAATAATTCTTGGTCTGTCATAGTTTATCTGCTCGACCTCACTAACTCTAGTCATATGTGAATTCATATATCATGTAGTTTGTGTAAGTGCGTTTGCCTCAAAGTGTTTGGGTTTCTGGATACCAACAGCTATCGCATTGCCAGGTAGTTGCAATGTGAAATAATAAGGCTACAATTCAAGCTTTAAGAGGGGATAGTTGTTTCAAGAGTAAATACTTAATTTACATAATTGATAACATGTAGGAAGACGGAGTTGAAAGATTAAGAGGGAAACGGAGATGATTCAGAGAAAAACAGGACGCAGTTACTAATTATGCACTAATTATAATGGTGATCATTTTTGACACATGCATCAAACGCAGCCGGTCCAAGAGAGAGGTAGTAATTCGTGAGCGAGTACGTGTTTGTCAGATCTCATGAATAGGTCACACACCGGCCTGCTAAAGGTTTTCGTGCACTGCTTCAGGATTTTATTTCGGATTTTTTTCACATTTTTGTGACTTTCCTGGGTGAAGAAACTTATGTCTTTTCAATACGTATCCTGTAGTTGTTTGGATATCTCCCAAACCTCCAACTCGCACTAGAGTTCGATACAGGTTAGTGATCTACTAGCTGTATGAGCCCTGAAAGGCATCATTTAGGTTATATCATTATCTGGAGTTCACACCAATCAGATGTGGATTGTAATGGAAGAAGTTATCTGGACACACTTATTACAGTTGTGATGTGAAGACCTTTGCTTTTGATAAGGTTAACCATACATGTCTTGTCAATAAGCTCATACGATTAGGTATCAGACCACCACTTCATACCTGAAAAATCGACATTTTAAGGTCAGAGTTAATTTCACTTTATCTCAGGCTATGGAATGTTCCAGTGGGGTCCCCCAGGGCTCAGTACTAAGACCTCCTGATTTATACAAATGATCTTCCTCGACAGGTATCGTCAGACTTATTACTTTTTGCCGACGACGTAAAACTTTGGAGAGAGATACGCAACCAAGACGGTATACAGGCACTTCAGGAGGATCTGACTCGACTTCAAAGTTGGGCAGACGATAACGGACTTACCTTTAGCACTTCAAAGTGTAAAGTAGTCCATCTGCGATATGTCGCAGTCTGCAGTTATAACATAGGTAACTCCTCTCTAGTAGTCGAAAAAGATTTAGGAGTCTGGGTACCTTACGATTTAAAGTCTTACGCTAACTGTGACAAAAATGCCTTCCGAACCAACCTTGCACTGGTAACATTGAAGCGCATTTTTGGCCAGTTTGACGGAAGAACTTTCCATTTAATCTTCAATAGTTTAATCCGTCCCCACTTACAGTACGGAAACACAGTATTCCCCCCCCTCAGTCCAAAAGGATAAGGATACCCTGGAGCGTATCCAACGGCGAGCCACGAAATCAGTTCAAGGACTCAAATTTAAACCTTACGAAGAGCGCCTCCACTCACTTAACCTTTACCCACTAGAGTATAGACGTCTTAGAGGTGACCTTCTGATGGCTTATAGTATCCTTAACACTTCTGGACATCAGCTCCCAAACACCTACTTAAGCTTAGTTCCAACACTAACCTAAGAGGTAACACCCAAAAACTGGAGACACAACACAGCAGAACGGACTGTAAACACAACTTCTACTCCTTAAGAGTTGTCAAATGCTGGAATTCGCTGCCGGCCGAGCTAGTCCAAGCGACTTCTCAGGAGTTCTTTAAGAGGCAACTTGGTCTATTCTTAAGGACTAAGGATAGTATCGCACTATGACTTATTAATTTCTTTTCCTGTTTTATTGTTACCATACCTAGGTTCCTGCCTGGAGGATTTGGTGATCCCTTGCTACTAGACACGGAAGCCTGTTAGGCGAAAGCTTCTTCTATTCCATCCACAACCATTTGAACCATTTGAATGACGCATGACACTCATGTTGTATATTGTGACCTTCAGCTTCCTCCTGACCACAACTCATTAGCTCAAAGGCTCCGCAAACCACCATTCTAGTTGATTCTTGTGCGTCCGAATCTCTTATGACCCACGGTTTGTCGTGTCTAACTCAAATTTGGGAGTAACGCTTAATCGATGGTCTCTGGCATAGTCATTAGAATTTCTTCTGTAAAATTCTGCCTCAAACTAAAATTACTTTCAATGCTGCTCTACATATCTCTACATTCATGTCCATATGCAAGTATTACACCTTAGCTGGGGTGCTACATTTTTCGGGCATGATGTTGCATTTGTCCAGGTGTTCGTAAATAAGTGCCGCCCGACGCTTTAGTAAGCTACTTCTCGACACTGCAACATTGAATAAAATCAGGGCTTTACCCGGCTTTTTCATACCCCAGTTTTAGCGTTTTGGGAGCTGTGTTATTGCTTTCTCCCTCCTCAGAGCTCACCCGATGCTTCTTTCTGTTAACAAATACTAGGGTGCTGGCTCGGGTTGTGGCCAATATTTTTGTGGTTTTGGTCGAGACTGTGTTCCACCACTTGGATACGCTTGTTGGGATGGATACCGATGCTTCCAATGAGGATCTTGTGCCCCTTTTCAGTAGTTCCGTTGATGTATTTTTCTACACTGTGGACAAATGTACCAGAACCACGAACAGAGGTGGTTTAACACAGACTCGTAGCACTGCCTGGACGCAGATGTACCACAGCGTCAGTCTGCCTAGCTCTGACAGAAACTACTTTAATATTCTTGGCATTTGGTCTTAACGTGCGACAATCACGCAACAGACCTATCATTTTCTTGTTATTTCTCCCCATTGGTCAGCTTCACAGCCACCTTAGTATGTTTATTTCCCTCACTACTAATTTGCTTGCTAGTCATACAATGAGAAGAATACTCGGTAGGGGTGTGGCCCTGACTACTTAGCTGGCGACTTAGTACCAGTATTTAATTTTAGTGATGCATACTGTGCACATTACTCTGTGGTTCTTTATTTCGCATCATCCGGAGCTTCCTGAATGCCGGTGACCAAATTCAAGAAATGAAGAGAAATATCGGATTCTAAATCAGCTACTAATGTTCCTCATGTTATAATCAAGCCAACTCATGATCTTCACCAAGATAATGTATGATGATCAAACTTGCCCAATCTGTTCACAATTTTATATGGTAGATCAAACTTGGTCTGTGTAAAGTTTAGTGAATAAACTGTTATTAGTGTAGAAGTACTTCAAAACGTCGACACCCTTCCAAAGTATTTCGCTCCACCCGGATGTCGACGAGCCAACCTAATGCCTTCTAATACCTAATGCACGAGAGGTATATATAAATCTAGCCTATATACTGGTTTCCTGTTGTCTACAAATAGTGCTCACTTCCCGTTTACGAAGTTCATCGTTTAGAGTAACTTGTCAGTAACATTGCGTGGCGCGCTAAGTACTAAAAGACAAGTATCTTGGGAGATCATAATCACCATTATTTGGTCATCTCCAATGTTCTTATAACATTACTCGTTAAACTGAACATTTTATAGTTCAATTTATTGTGAAAGACAATATAACTTTAAGGTAAAAGCTTTCAAAGTTGCTTCTTTACGATTTCATTCATGATTATTAGGTTTTTGATTTTGTTATTTTCTTATGACTCTAGTTCTGAGCTTTTTTGAACTATGAATTATTGCTATAGCATTCTTTATCCACATACTACAACCGAGTACTTGTATACTCAACAATCAGCTTTTCCCATAGTGAATGCTTTTGTTCCATGTTAACCGTTACTGTAACCCACTTGATCTGGTAAGTACTTATAGAAATATGATAATAGTGCCCCGCTGGTTAAAATTTTTCCCGTGTACTTCTTCCTCATTCGGAAATAGTTAGTATCAGGTCTGCCGTCAGGCACAGATTGAAAGTCTTCCTCTACATTACTGCGTATTGGCTGCTTAAAATTGTCAACGCGTATTGGTCGGTTATTAGGACAAAAAATTATGTGTGTTGTCTGGATCCTGAGATGCAAATCTGGGTAATTATCTGACTGAGTGATGTAGTGCACTGGAAAAGTGACATTCTTCGAGTAATTACTAGAGGGTTATTAATCTGCATTAAACGTTGTCTGAACAGACGGATAAGTAATTGGCTGAGTTTTTTGTTTAACCTGTAGCATTAAATACATTCACGAAGTAAAATATTCTTTTAGTTTTCGATTTTGGTGCTTACTTCATCAATTTCACTAGGCACATCCTAGGTGAAGACTTTCGGTCACGCCTTTAACCCAGATTACCGTTTGGTACGCCGTTCTACGCATACTTCACAATAACCAGCCAGCTCAGATCAGACTTTTCCTCGGCACACGATAAACCACCGAATATATCGTTGAACTCCTTCATTCCTAACTTTTGATTTGACTGCGTCAGTACCCTGAGTGCAAAGTTGTGGACACTCATTTGACTGAAAAAATGTGGAAATCTTTGACAGAGGAAATTCCAAAAACACCAGAGAATTTTTAGAAGCTTTGCACTCAGGTCAATAAGCAATCAACAAGCACATTGAAATCGATCCAATTTATCAACCAACCAGGAAAATTATGCACGAACATATGAACAAAAATCAAAACAATGAGAGATACAACCAAAACAAAGAAGTAAACAATGACAGGTTTAAGGTCAACAAAAACCAATCAATATCGTGGTCTACAGAACAAGCTGTGAACTAAATGTGGAGAGATTCGAGCGCTTCACCTATATCTGATGATTGTGCTGATGATGTCGTTTAGAAGAACAAAGAAAGTCTCATGACCGAATCATCCAGCTCAGAGAACAAAACTCCATCAAAATAAACCGTGCTATCAGGATCAGTATAAGCAAAATAAAGAACTCTGTATTGCATGATTTGACAACCATGCGCACTAAACAATGTCGGTAATACAATGACATGGTCTGAAA